GCCTGCGACACGTGCCCTTCGAAACCCCACACTCATAAACACTCTTTCCACATATGACGAAAATCGAATCACAATCTTTCGGATGAAAAACGGCCGCCACCACAGTATCCCGGTTACCATCAGCAGTGACGGCATCCGGAAAGCTCAACTCCCTCTCGCCAACCAATGCCCACGTGTCGTCCCCACGGTCCAATTCCCAAACCCTCACAACGAAGCATTTCGGGCCCAGCCCGTTTCACAAAACGTGCAACAACCTCAACTCATCCCTCACGGCACCAATGTGGACCCTCGAGTCGGGCGTTCTACGGGTGGTGTTTTCACGCACAATGTCTGAGAAGTAGATTACGACACACCGATTATCAGCCAAATCAACAGAAACAATACGGTTGAAGTTATATAAACCGTCCATCCAGTACAGAATCCCATTGCACGAAACAACATTGGTAATAATGCTATAGTCCCTTGTTGGGCGAGTAGGAAACAAGAAGAAAGATCTGGTCCATTGCCCCGACTCGGAACAAAACACCAATACTGTTTGTAGATATGTATCGCCAAGGTCTTCTCCTTGTGCATCATTGAAACCAATCATGTCGATAAGTACCACCTTGTAAGAGTTCTTATTGCATATTAATGCAAATCCTGCCCTTGTTCCAAGAGGGGTTTCTCTAGGAATGAGAAACCACTTTTTAGTCACCGGGTTACAAATGTAGTACCTCTGATGGTGGTGGCGAAAACGGTCATCCAAGAAAACCTTATCCAGGGACACGAGCAACAAGTCATTGCACGATGCTCTTACGACCATGAGTGAAGAAGGCATGAAGTCAAGATAGTTAGACGATGATAATAATGCGTGCTTTCCGTGGATATGCAAAGATTCCTCCAAGAAAAGAGTGCAAACCAATTGATAATACCCTGGGTTGTCATAAACACAAATACGATGATTCATGCAGAAAAGAATGGTGTAGGATTGATCTCGATCTTGATGGAGGCGAATGAAGCTAGGGATGAATTGCGGTTGAGAGATCAACGAGTGCCAACGTCGACAAACAGAGCTCAACTGGATAACAAATCGACAATTCGGGAGTCTGACAAGGATCTCCGACAATAAGTCTTCACCTGACACATGACAACAAAACTTCTGATGCTCGAAAGAGAATAAATGAGTATTGGCATATCTAATTATGTAATTTATAATATTACAACAATCTCAAATTCTCAATTACCGAGTCCATTGTCAATGCTTGTCCTCACCCTTTTATTGCAAAAAAAAAAAAAAAGAAAGAAAAGGAAAACCCTCTGTCTATGCAAAATAATACACGCTGCATAAATAAATAGGGAAGAAGGAAAAATTAGAGTTAACGAAAACAGGGTGAATAAAAATTTTATATTTAAATTTGAAAAAAGGGAACATGAAAAGCTTTTATTTATGTATTAAATAATTGGCTTAATTGCACGTAAAATCCCCACTTTTTGTGTAATTTCAAATAAACTCAACTTTCTTTATCTTTGCAAATAAATACCAGACTTTTATTATGTGTTGCATATTTGTTAGAAAAACTATTTTCCGGTCAATCCTTGTTAACGTGTCCGATCAAAAATCTTACGTAGCACTTATGAAGCTTGTGTGGTATCAATCTTTGAAACTCCTCACCATGTTTTTGCCCCATCTTATGCCAACAAATTAACCTAAGTTAGAGTTTAGTACGAATTGAAAAAATATGATTTTATCACCAGATTTTTTGTTCCATAATATTCATAAAAATCGAGTTCTTCTCTCACAATTGAAAAAAAAATAATATTTGCAACGATCCTTCTCTTCTCCATGGCGCGATTCTTCAACACCAAAAATCGAGTTCACCCCCAACATTCTGAATAGATTTACGAGCTTACCCCCAAAATTTTGTAAAAATGGACAGAAAGAGCAATTTCGAGTGATTTTTAGACGATTTTAGTGTTTTGATCGGACACATCAGCAAGATTGGCCGGTAAATAGTTTTGGGACAAATTTACAACGCATAATAAATGTTCGGTATTTATTTGCAAAGATAAAAAAAAGTTAAATTTTATTTGCATTTACATAAAAAGTGAGGATTTATGTACAATTAAACCTAAATAATTTATAAATATTTTATTTTATAATTAATATTTAAATAGATACTCCTCGTCGTTCGGACAACTTACCTCTCCTATATTCTAAGAAATTTTCTTATTCATGGTTTTGATATTTTCATAACTCGTCCCTTTGAGATATTCCGAGAAAACCGATTGGGTGACTGCCTGGGCCCAAAAAGAAAGAAAAAAGAAAAAAAGCACCAATTTTATTTATGTTATGTACATTAATTATTAATTTATTTATTTATTTGAAATGATGGAGATATTATGTAAAAGCACACAAATGTGCAAATGTACCGCCACTAGCTGAATACAACAGCCAACAGCTGAATAATCTGAAAAGACAAGTCAAATACCGCCTAGAACCGACCCCAACAGGGTAATACTCAAACACAACACAAAAAACACACTAGCTGATTACATTATTTATTTTTATAAATAAGGAAAAAGGTATAAAATTATTTTAAAAGATAATTATTTTATTACTAAATTTTCACGAGATTGCAAAATATATATATATATATATATATATATATATATATGTGGAAATCTCATAATAAAATTTATTAATTAATAACTATAGATGAAAACTATAGATGAATAATTAGTATTTTTGTGTTTTTGCTTTTTTTTTTTCACTTAATTACTCAAAACTTTATGTTGCTCGAGTATATAAAGTTATTATTTTGTGTGCAGATAATTCAATATATAAGTGATTATAGTTAAAAAGAGTAATGTAAATATACTAATTTTGAATATGAGTTCCAATTTTTTTTTTTTTTTCCTTAAAAAATATAGTTAATTTGAATTTTCACCATTAAAAAAAGAAAAAAATCATTCAACCTGAATCTATTATAATGGACCACAAACGGGGTTATTATCGAAGCGAACTGTTAACAAACAAAGCTCGTTCGTTTAGTAATTGATCCATGATTATGTTCGTTTAGTTATCGAACAGTTCACGAACTAAAGAGCGTTCATGAACAAAAGGTTATCTTTGTACACTCTTATTTTTATTATTTCCCTCATCAATCTGGAAAGGAGAAACAACAAAAAAGGTAATCCATTTCCAAATCCAAAATTTATAATATGGAATAGAAGGAGAAAGAGATTTCAAGCTAAAGAGTAATTTGCTTATAGATAAAGCTTATAAGTGTTTGTCATCTCCCTAATCTTTCCAAGAATTAACTTACCACATGTCAGAACAGAATATAAAAGCTCCTTGAGACATCACTAGACCCACTTCGACTGGCTGGACCTAAAAATAAAGCCATCAAACGAAACGAAACGAAATTGAGAAATTCGAACCGGCAATGGGTCAGCTAAGGAAGGACGTAAATACACTTTAAAACGAACACACAACATACAAAACTCAAATCAGCAAAACCTGTTCAAAAACATACACAGCAGCAGCAGCAGCACCAAAAACTAATTGGCACAATGGAGAAAACAAATACGTGAAGATCCCGAGTAAACTTCATATATCACACAGCCACCGCAAGCAATTACTTGAATCTCCCAAGCAATCACCCTGCGTATACAACAAACAAACGAACAACAAGCTTATGAATATCAAAACAGTAAGGCTAGAAAAGAAAAAATATTGATATTTTTCATAGTCAACAACACCACCACAAAAGAACAGAGCACATGCAAAAGCCGAACACCACCAAAAATACACGCACCAAACTGAAAGGAAATGATGTAAAAAAATGACAATCCCATCATATGCCTACATATATACTAATAAAAAAATGACAATGCCAACCATATGCTCGGAATCATCACCAGAACTAGCGACCTTGGGCTGCTCGGTCGCCGTTTTGCTCTCAACTGCTCAAAATAAGCATCTAGAAAACAACAAACCACAGAAAAAAAAACAACAAAGCAAGTGAAAAGGTGACCTCAATATAATATGAGGTTCGATTGGACACTCAAAGATGTGAGGTGCATCAGCCACATTGGTTAGCCCGCAAAGAAACCGCAAGGTCGGGTCTGCACCTAATTTGCAAGCATTCTATGGAGTTCTATTCCACCTACCTATGATCTCATCGAACTGTTTATTATTACGGGATTTTATCTTATTGGATACAAATGAAGTCAACCAGGTCCAAGTAAAGCTATAAACATCGGTGGCAGTAAGAACTCCCGTCGCATACACTTCGAGGTTATAATGAAGGAGCTCATGAGGCGGATAGCATTTGTACAAATTGCTAAATGTAATTAGCTCAGGTTGAACATGAGAGGCCACAATAATACCTCTTCTGCAGAAGCATAACAGATCGGGTTTATTATTACTATTTTATTTTTTTTCAATGTGGTTTTGGTGTCATTTGCCTAAATAAACAAACGTAGCAACATTTGCCTAAATAGACAAACGTAACCAGCTTTCACTCAATTATTTGCTCTAATTCTTGTGGGATACAAGTGAAGTCAACGAGGTCCTAGTAAAGCTATAAACGTTGGTGGCAGGTCGGACTCAAAAAATACTTTGAAAATAACAAAAGCATATCATCGATGGGATAATCATAATAAATAACCCTGCAATTTTAAAATTAAACCACTCTTCCAACTTTTATAATATAGTTTATTCATCCGAATATGATTGGAACATTAAACAAAATATAAGCAAAGAAAGAAAGGAACATAAATGAAAACGAAATTAAACACAAGCTCCCAACTAAACCCCAAATGGAATTTGGGTCGGCCAAGGTGGATGCATGAGAACAAAAGACGCGAGACCCTCGTCGCCTATGGATTCCCGAAGCTCACCGAGCCTGCGACACGTGTCCTTCGAAATCCCACACTCATAAACACTCTTTCCACATATGACAAAAATCGAA